TTCAGGACTGCAAACCGAGCAGCATCACTGACTTTCAGCTTGTTGTGTTTGTGGATATATGACTGACTTTAATTATCCACAAAATCATCACATTCTCTGTCAGATTAAGGTCGACTATTGAACGGCGTAAATTTTAAAGGTTGTAAAACCAAGTTAGTACAAACGTCACTAATGTCACATAACTTTCCCGACATAAATAAGTGACACAATATTCAGTACTTACTTTTGAAAGTTCACTCTTCGGCCGCTCCGCTTCAGCCGTCTGCCGTATTTTTCGGCAAAATTATCCACACCCCCTGCCGCGCTATGAATTGTGGGATATATGGTACCACGAAGCGTGCACCGGCCCACACTTCAAATTTGGGGAAATCGACGGTGCATTTGGAGTATGCATTTGAAGTACACTTCGGATTGGGACAGCCGTCGTTGCGACGCTGTGTATAATAGGTCTCAAAATGCATACTCCAAAGCGTGCGGTTGCTGGATTGGGACACAGCCTTAGAAACACATTATCACTCAGATATTTAACTGAACCGCAGGTGTGATCAGTCCTGTGTGTTTACGGGCTGAAACACAAACCAGAGTCCATTTAAAAAAGTCCATATTTAATGTCCCGTAGGAAAAAATGAGTGGATAATGATGAGCGGGAGAAACTGTCACGGCTTTAAATTTAATCAGGTCTCACATCATTTTCTTTCTTTTTTTTTTTTTTGTAAATAAAGTAAATACAATTTTATTCAAGATAAAAATCAGTCCTTTACAATGAAATGCTAAAATAAAGACAGAAAAAAGTCTCCTTTCATCCTCAGCCTTGTATTTTGCACAGCCAGCGGGTCCTGATCACATGACCTCAGGGATCTGCTTTGAGTGCATTGATGTAAAAGTTCACTGATGTAAACTGATGCTTGTCCATGCTTAGCTCTAGAAGTCAAAAGTGAATCTGGAACCAGGATCTCACAACAGTGTGATTCGAGTATTCATTACCATAGGCATAAATCTCTTTAGGAGACAAAAACATTTGAGTTATTTGTTTTTATTTATATTAAAATAGCATAATAATCTATGCAAGATTTGTAACTTAGAAAACATCTTCGGCGTGTTTAAGAAGGGGATCACTTATTAATTAGATAGTGTCATTGTGTTATGATTAACGTATTGAAACCGACAACTCTTGTGGGTTCATTTGCTGGAACAGGGTTGTTATATTATGTGTTGGGGGCGCTATGGGTCGGTTCTGCTCCTCGTGCTACTTGTATCGGCATTCATATTGATCCTTGTGTTATTAATTTTCTTTTTTTTCTTTTTTTCTTTTGTGCCTGTCCCGTTTGGCTCTTTTGCATCAGAATTGTTGTCTAAAGGCAAAGAAAGATGCCCAACGGATTTACTTTACCAAATTGACCATCCCAGCCTTGCCGATAATGGTCCATTTGATTCACCTTTTATTGTTTATTTTATTTTCACTTACTGAATACGGGACAGACTTGACTGGGGGAAAGAAGGGGAGAAAGAAAGAGGGAAAGAGAAACAGCTGAGAAGAGGGACGGGGGAGAAGGGCAAAAGACAAAAACCAACAGAACGGGCAGAGAAAAAAAAATGCATATATCAATCACCTGGATCACCTGCTGAGAAAGAAAAAAGAAAACAAGCAGAAGAGAACAAGAGTAATAGAATAAACAACATCACAATGATATATGGGAATATGACAGTAAATACTAAATATTAAACATTATTGTGCAGCACATAAGATCAACAGAACACAGTGTGCTTTGAGGTAGGAGCCAAAAAGGGTGTAGTTTGTGGGTGTGACACCCGTGTGTACACCTGTGAGCATGGACGCGCTTGTTTTTAAAAGGTTCCTTCATGTAATGATCTGCTAGAGGGTGTGGGGGGGCCACAGCCCCGTCCTCCAGGGCATGAAGCAGGTATGGAGGAGATCAAAACTCCAGACATCCAGAGGCCCCCAGAACACAAGAGACCAAGGAAGACCAACAGAGGGGCAGCCGCGCCACTGTCCCAGAAAGAGCTGAGGAGAGTCCCAGATGAGGGCTCACTCAGCAGCCGCGGAGCAGAAGCCAGGGGGAGTTGCAGTGACGCCCCGTGAGCTCCGCCGGCAGCCAGCTCGTGCCTGAGTGACCGAGCCCCAGGCCGAGAGGCCGGGGGCACCCCACCTCCGAAGTGGCCCGAGCGAGCCCCAGGCTCCAGGCCCCGACAAGCGGCCGCCAAGGAGTGAGCCGGTGTGTACCTGGACGCCCATCCCCGGACACAAAGAACCACCAACGCACCGATGTCTGAGGGAGTCCGCCACTGGCAGGGGAAGTGGTGGTGGGGAGTAGGCCTCCAAACCTTGGAGGGCCTGAGATGTCCCCAGAGAGGTGGCGTCTGATACCCAACCTGACATATAGACACAGACATACAGGCACACACAGATACAAACATCCATTCCCACCCTCATGCTCTCATATGCACTTACTCCACACTCAACCAACGTGGAGACAGACATAAAGAGACGCTGTACACACGATCACACTCCCCAAGCGTACTCTACAAACCGGGTCTAGGTACCCTTGCCCCTGGAGGGGGGAACTGCACCCAGACCCAGGTGGTGTTACCCTTTTCCCTGCGGTGGGGGAGGCAGACCGCCCCGACTCCGCAGCAGCAGGGAGGCCCCACACTCCAGACCGCAGTCGGACGGCCAACTCCTCCTCCTAGCCCCCCCGCTCCAGCAGGTCGCAGAGAATGGGGGTGAGAGAAGACTCCAAACCTCCCTCCACCCGCTCATTGTAGTGTTGATGCATGTGTGTTCTAAGGTGCATTTAAAACCCAGGAGGGCATGGAGCTACCTGCCAGAGAGCAGCAGGTAAGCGCATGGTCCCTCCTGCTAGCCCTCAATGTCTACGTGTATTTAAAATTGAGAGGTGGGCAACGACGCCAGGGGTGGGGTGTACACCCTGATGGTAACTTTGGATTCCGTGTATCGTGCCCACCCCCAAGATCCTATATGTATGTGTAATGAGAGTGTGAGTAATGTGAATGTCTAAGTTGTGGGATAAAATTGAGGCAGAGGCAGCCAGAAGGGGACAGGGGGGGGGGGTGCCTCCTCTGCACCCTGGTGACATACCCCTACTCCAAGGTCCTGCATGTGTGGGTGGTTGTGGTGGAGCGGGAAGAGGGAGGCAGCTGGAGATGGGGAGGGAAGGAAGGGAGGGGCAAGTGACCCCTCCCTGGGGCCAGCTCCCCCGCTGACCCCAGTAGGCACCCCCATACTCCGCGACCCGCCAGGGAAAGGGGGCCCAGGCCCATCCAGACCGGGGCCCAGTGCAGCAGCGCCTCCCGGCCCCACAGAGCCCGGGACAGTCCACCCAACCCCACCACAGAGAAAACTGCACCCACCCCACCATCCACTCATCTTCCAGACTACATAAGACAATAAACACCCAGGCTGAGATCTTCCTCCACCTCTCCTGTATCTCCCCCTCCTGCAGAGGGAGCTCCTGAGGAGAGGAAAGCTCCTGCAAGATGTGACAATCTCCCCTCACATCATTTTCTGACCTGATGCAGGTTAAGAACGATGCAGTAAAACCTCAGTGATCGTCTCACAGCAGGTCAAAACTCTGATCTTCATGCTGCTCATCCGTCCTTCCTTTAAAGTCCAAGAGAAAAAAAGGAAACTAGACTTCAGTTCAGCAGTGAATGGACTATACAAACATACAATACACCTGAAATAAGTTCACACTGCACACAAAACAAACCAGATGACTGTGTTCAGTCCACAAGGCTTTGCACAGCAGTTAAACAGTCCTGTAGAAATAAAATGAGCAACTTCCTCTGTTCTAGACTTTCCATCTGCTAGCAGACATCACAACAACCCACCTGAATAAAGAAAACTGGAATTTACACCTCAATGGAGCTCTGGTACCTGGATTCACCATGGCAACAAGTAAATAAGAGCAGAGCTTCCATCGCCCGGTACGTCTGGTATATTGTAGTAAAAGACAACATCGATGTTACGGTCCACAGGTATGAATCATGTGATACCAGCATGTATATCAGACAGAGGATGTTCTCAGTGTGTGAAGACCTGAACCACATTAACATGATCACATGTCCAGAAGATCACATCTTAGGCCTTGTGGTGTTCCTGGTCAGCAGAGGTGAGGACCTACAGAGCAGAAAGCAGAATATTCATGTTTTCTTTTTACAAGGATCGGATTAATTCATGAAGAATGAATTGAAAAACAGAAGGCACAGACAACACTAAAGCTTTAATAATCGGGTTATGTTCACACACACATAAGATTCACATTCCTCAGTGCATCACAGCACCAGGTTAAAATAGACTGTAGTAAAGTAAAATTATAATAATTCTGGTATTCTATGGCAAATGCCAGTCAGGCTCCATGGTGCCGGGCAGTGAGCACAGGGGTCAAACTCCAGCCCTCGAAACTTTTACCTGTTCCTGCTGCAACACACCTGAATAAAATTAGTAGGTCATTTGCAAGACTCTGTAGAACAGGGGTGGGAACTCCAGGCCCCGAGGACACATCTAAAACCTGCAGGATACCGACCCTTGGGACCTGGAGTTGGACATACCTGCTATAGAACTTGCCTGCATGCTGAATGGCAGTTCAGTCATTTGATGCATGTCACAGCTTGTCATGGTGCAAAAGGACTACTTTTGACACCACTGCACTAGAGGATGTCGGGCCCTCAGACCACCCTCATGAAGTCTGGTCAGGAGAGACAGAGAGGGAACATCAAACACGAGAAACACAGGAGGCAGTAAAGATGGCAGACATGATGACATAAACCTAAAGATTACATAACAAACCTAAAAGCAGAAAATATAAACACTAAACGTAGAAGAAATACAGTCACGACAACCAGAAAGATCAACATACATAAGTCTGGGTCACAGAGATCCAACTGTGGGTTTCCTGTTTTATCTTCAAGGACACAACAATGACGATTCATGTTGATATTGATGAGACATCATGTTAACAACTATGTTTATCGTTGTCTGCTGTCACTCACTTTTTAAATAAAGTTTAAATAAATCACCGCCCATGTGTTCCCGGTGAACAGTCACTAGAGGGCAGCAGAGCTCCCTCACACTCACCTGAGACTCAGAAACATGTCATCACTCAGGTATTTACCTGAACCACAGGTGTGATCAGTCCTGTGTGTTTACAGGGAGAAAACAAACCAGGTACCTTAAAAAAAAAAAGTCCATATTTAACATCAGGGAAAGGGAAAGTCTGGAAAGGCCTTCAACTTTGGCTACCAAGGATCTTCCACTAATGGATAAATCCCTTTGAAGCCAAAGATTAAATCTTTGTTATATTGAAGTTATGAGGGACTAAATGTTCAGATAATCTAGCATCTTGGTCTTTTTGAATGATAATACCAAGATATTTAGTCTTATCTTTAACAGGAACACCTGATATAATAGTATCTGTGCAGCATTTAACTGTGAAAAGATCACATTTTGGAATGTTGCGTTGGAGACCAGAGGCTATTGAGAAATTTTTGATGACTTTGAGAGCTTCACCAATTTGAGATTTATCCTTTTAAAAAAGTGTTGTGTCATCCGCTAGTTGAGTAATAGATAAAGTTCTGCCAGCAACATTACACTGCTGTTTTTAAAATGAATAGAAAGTCTGCATAGGAAGAAGGAAAAGATATGCCGAAATCGGACAACCTTGACGGATCCCACGGTTGATATCAAATCTCTTCGTTGTACCATACGGGAGTTTGATTGAGCTTTTTGCATCTGCATATAAAGTTTGAATGGATTTTTTAAACATATTTCCAAAACCAAAAATATCAAGTGCTCTGAACATGAATTCATGTTCAATGGAGTTGAAAACTTTATAAAAATCCCAAAAAAGAATGAAACTATTATCTGTGATTAAACCTGAATGACCAAAAATATCAATTATTATGTTGTTTGTTATGTGTCTGCCCAGTCATAAAACCAGACTGTGTTTCATCAATAATATCATTAAGTGAACATTTTAATTTTTTAGCCAGACATAGCAATTATTTTATGATCATTATTGAGCAGTGAAATAGGTCCAAATTTCTATCAAAAGGACGTCTTTTTGAGGCTTGGAAATCAAAGTAATTAGTCCCTGAATCAAGGAAGGAGGGACTTTTTCATTAGCAATGCTTTCAATATATACTTTATGTAAAAGCGTGAGAAGTCCTTTAAAAATAATTTGTAAAATTCACAAGTCCACCCGTCATTCCCTGGACTCTTATTAAGTTTCATTTTATTAATAGCACCTTCAATATCTAGTGCTGTGATGAGGGCATCAGACATAGTTTTATTATTGTCAATAATTGTTTTAATATTACCTAAGGAATCATAAAAAATGTTCATGACTTCTGTAGAAAAAATAGATTTATATAAAGTTTTATAAAAAAGTTCACAAGTCTTGGAAATCACTTGAGGGTCTTGTGTGATGACCCATCTGAACACAGTTTAGTCATGGTGCCAAGTGTGTTGTGATGTTTTTCTAATTTGAAAAAATAGCTGGAGTTTTTGTTCTCCCTCTTAGACCCATTTCCTTCTCACAAAGGTACCTTTTGCCTTTTAAATACATATATTTTCTAATTTAATGTAAAATTTGAAGTCTGTTCCTGTTATCTTCAGATAAATTATCAGGTGATCTTGACAAAGCCATAATTTCAGAAGTTATTTCCAACTCTTCTTTTTTTCTATTTTTAACTATTTCAGCTCCTCTTCTCATTAAAAGAGATGTCAATTCAAATTTCATGAACTCCCAATTTTTACTAAAAGCATTTTCAACACATGCCTTTTCCAATACTCATCTATTTTTGTTTTAATTTCCTTTACCAAAGAATCATTCAGTATAAGAGAATTATTTAACTCTCAATATGAATTCACTCTTTTAGACGGTAGTTTTATGATCTGTCAAGGGTGTTGGCAACATTTTTAATATAGAAACATATTTGGATAAAGGATCAGAAATTAACCAATAATCAATACGAGACTGTAAGAAACTTGATCTATTTTTTCATGAAAATTCCTTAATTGTTGGAGTTTTAAGTCTCCAGTTATCAATTAGGTCTCTTTCCTTTATAAAATCCATCATATAATTGCTACTTTCCTGACTTTTACTCGGCCATCTACCTATCATGGTATTGAGTGAATGATTCCAGTCCCCTCCTAATATAATCTTTAGATTAGCAAATTTACTCATTAAAGACTGATTTTTTTTCCATTTACTATAAGTATTAGGTCAGTATTCTCCTGTTTGTTATTGTAGCCATAAATGTTTCCCAGTAAAAGGGTCTGATCATCAGCAAAATAAAATGTCCTCTTTCGGATCAGTTTCTGAAGATATATTTTTCCCTTAAACTTATGTTTCAGAATCAGTTCCCGCTGGATGGTTGGTGCCATGAGACATCCATAAATCTTCACCCCATTGGGATTTCCAGAAGTTAGCGTCCTTAGGTTCAGAATGGGATACTTGTATGAGACAAAAGTCAGTATTCAAACCTTTAGCATATAAAAACAGAGCCTTCCTTTTGGTATTGTCCCTTAGTCCTCGAGCATTTAAAGAATTAAAGGATAGAGATGAAATTTTGAAAAGTAAATTAACTTTTTACCCTGAGAAGAGTGTGTAAGCTTCAGAGAGAACAGAACTACTCTGTCTAAAAAAGTGCTTCAAAAACGTTTTTAGCAACAACAGCTTATTATAAGTCTTTAGAACAATAAGGAAAAGAGACCTTGAGGCACATCCGCAAACAGGACTGAAAGGGACTTCAGTGAATTTCTTTTCTGTTCACGAAAGCACGGGCTCCGACGAAGTAGACAATTTCCCCCTCCTTATGTGCTTTCTCCACCTGTGGCCATAAGTGGTTGCATCTCTCTCGGTTCTCAGGAGAGAGATCTTCTTCGAAATGGAGCTTCCTTGTCTTCAGGTAGTCAGATCCCTTCACCGCCTTTCAGGTGATGACTCGAAAGTGTCTCATGGTAAATTGCAAGATTATGGCACTGGGCAATGGCGCAGAAGAGGACTCACGTCGTTGTCCGATCCTGTGGACTGAATCAAGTACCTCCGGGAACTTTAAGCAGAAGTCAGCCTGTTTAAGGTTCTGATGTCTATTCTGTATGACTTAAAGCAGTTATGACATGGTCTGATTTTCTCACCCAATAAAGGAATATTTCATATATCAGTCTACTCTTCATTCTATCAGACACAGTTATCACAGCTCGTACATTTTCTTTTTACACATAAAATGGTAAATGGCCTGCATTTGTATAGCGCTTTTCTAGTCCCTAAGGACCCCAAAGCGCTTCACACTACATTCAGTCATTCACCCATTCACACACACATTCACACACTGGTGATGGCAGCTACACTGTAGCCACAGCTGCCCTGGGGCGCACTGACAGAGGCATACACATGTATGTAAGCATTGAGCCAAATTTAGTAATGCCAACATATTAAAAGAACAATATTTGTCTCTCATATATAATACATCTATATATACACTGTCACAGATACTGGTCTTTGAGTGAAGGTATAAGGTGATAGGAAATATAAATAACTTCCAATTTTACAAGCCTCGCACTTCTGGCCTTAGCGGTCTTTGAGTACGCGGCCCTTGTGGACTGTTAAGGCTGCGTACTCTAAGGCTGCAGACCCTGAATTGAGATATAGCCAGTGTTCCTGCAGCTTCCTGAGTCAGGGTCAATAATCATGATGTTCAGCCTGAACAGATCTGCAGCTGAAAAAAACCTTCCCTGTTTTACAGTTTCGATGGAAACTGAGCAGCTTATCCCACACACATTTAAACAAGTTTTCTGCACTGTCACAGTAAAATTATTTCTACTGATAATATCAATAAAGACGAGGTAGAGCCGGGTGGAGGCGTAGAAAGTTTTATTAAATGTGTAAAATCAACTGTTAAAAAGTTTTTAAATAAAGCAGAAAAAGAAGGAAACTCATCATTAATCATTATCATATCAACATTTACACTATAAAGATTATGAGGCTTTTATTTTGTTAACAGTGACTCAGGCTGTGATGTCACATGTGAGATCACATGGTGGCGGCAGCGTCCTCACAGCGTGGTGAACTGGCTCAGAGCTTCTCTCAGCTTATCTGCGATCTGACCAATCAGAGAGCAGATGGGAGACGACATCACAGACCTAAACATGCAACCAGACTCCGCCCACCCCGCCTCCCGCCTGGCGCTCACCTGCTGGTAGAAGGTGACCTGCTGCTCCAGGTAAAGCTGCATCACTCGGTTGTAGTCGTAGATGCGGTTGCTATGGAAATGGTTCATCTCAGCTGGAGGAGAGCAGACAGCGGCGAGTTACCCTTGGACATTTTTTTATTTATTACACATACAAACATTAACTTTATACTATTGTGGTATCATTTTATTTACTTTATTATTTAGTTCTTAGATCAGTTGTTCTTGGATTTTTATTTTGGTGGGATTGACATGAACCCAACATTATCATCTCTTCATACACATGTGGTATGTAGGTGGTGGCTGCAGCTCAGGTGGCAGAACAGGTCAGCCACTGTGGTCGGTGGTTCGATCCCAGGCTGCCTCCTGGCTGCATGTCAAATATCCTTGGGCAAGATACTAACCCTATGTTTGCCTACTGCTGGTGGTCAGAGTCCGGCAGCCTCGCCTCTGTCAGTGCGCCCCAGGGTGGCTGTGGCTACAATGTAGCTGCCATCACCTGTGTGTGGATAGGTGGATGGCTGAATGTAGTGTAAAGCGCTTTGGGGTCCTTAGGGACTGAATAAAGCACTATACAAATGACATTTACCTTTTTTTTTTTTTACATGTGAAACAGAAACAGCTGAAACTATGGCCGGTGATGAGGTAACGCGATGACATCATGAAAAGGCAGCAGGTGACTAAAGCTGAGTGTCTGACGAGACGAGCTGAGCAGGAAACACCCTCACAGGGTTTGTACATGTGACCGTCTACTCTGCTGTCAGACAGAGCAAGACAGTTTTATTTTGAAGGGTTGCATGAAGTCCCTGAATGATCCTGTGATGCTAAAGGTCAGCTGTGTGTCTCTGTCTCCTGAGTGACCGCGGCCCCTTCTCCTTCTTCTGAAGCTCCTCCAGATGTGATGTGTCCTGATGGGGATCTTGGTCTTCGGCTCAGGCCAAAGATTAAAGTTGGGGCTCTGAGTGGGTGGTGGTAACGCCCATTCTGGCCTCCTGCAGCATGTTCCTCAGCAGGATCGTCGTGGTTCTCTCTGAGTTTCTCCTCACTCCTGTTGTCCACACTTGGAGACACTGTGATAACTTTCACTCTTCTCCTCAGGTCTGAAGTGATTTATAAAGTGTCTTTGGATTTGGGACGCTGCTTTCTCAGATCAAACCCTCACAGATGTGTTTATACCAACTGTAAACTGGAGAAATTCCTTGGTTTGGTCTTAATTTAACATCTTTGAGTGTTACAGAGTGAACACAGGTCATTGCACAGCAGGTCCAAGCTGTGGGTCAATGACAAGCTCAGTTCTTCAGGAGGACAAACTGACTGTGGTCATGTTTGTCTCTCTGAAATTATTCTGTCATTGTTTGTAAACAGATTTATGCTTTTTAAATAAAACAAGCATGTTCAGAAACACTGCGCAGAAAATCCATCGCTCTGCTAAAAGCATGACAGCTTTAAATTTCACCAGGGGCTGATAACTTTATCAAAGAGATTACTTTGACCTTTGGGTTTGCTGGGATTTTTGGGTGGTGTGTGTGTGTGTCTGTGTGTGCTGTTACCCTGCAGGGCGTAGCTCATGCAGCTGAGCCGCTGGTTCATGCACTTCCTGTCGCTGTTGTTCATTTTTCCTGCAGAAACCAAACGATCACCTTCCTTCACTTTATCTGCAGCAGCCTGAAACACAAACACACACACACACACAGGTGAGACCACGCCCTCCTCAGCGCATCTGGAGCCCCTCCCATTCCCCAATTAATGTTGCTCTGACAACGATTGAATAAAAACCTCCAAAAGAAAAGCCTCAGTTTCCAGCTTCAGTCTGTTTTATTGTCTCATGTTTTCAGATATTCTCTGTGTGCACCTGCAGTTATGTGTAGCAGTACTGTGTGTAGTATAGTCACTACACACAGTAGTTCTGCTGTACCTTGTGTACAGCGATGATGTCTGGAAAACATGCCAGCAACCCTTTGTACTCGCTGTTAGTCTCCAACAGGAAGTGGAGGTCCTTCTGAGGCTGGAAACATCAACACAACAAAGAATGCAGTAAGAGAATAAACAAATATTATTGTAAGACTGAGAAAACACAGTATACTGTGTATTTATACATAGGTGTGTGTGTTTTTACCTGCTGGGCGACGACCTCAGCAATCTCCTCGTAGGTTTTTCCAGCAGCCGTCAGAGCGTCGGTCAACGTCGCCTCGCCTGCATCGCAGACACTTAAAAGTCTGTACTTATACCACATAATAGATGTTTACTGGATATTTACGTATTTCACAATGGAAACCAGCTTTAAGGAAAATGGTTCAGAAAGAACACACTGAGCTCAGAGTCCCTGAATGCACCGCAGGAGAGCTTCAAGTCCTCCGAGAATGTAAACAAAACCGTTGGTCAGTCAATAAAGTTGTTCCTGTTTAAGTGTTGCTGGAGTCCCTGCATTGTGATTATCTTTCCATCCTTCCTCCCTCCTTCCATCCACCCTCCTTCCATCCTCCCTCTCTTCCTCCCTCCTTTCTTCTATACTTCCATCCTCCCTCTTTCTATCTTTCCATCCTTCCTCAGTCCTTCCACCCTCCCTCCTTCTTTCCTACCTACTTCTATCCTTCCATCCTCCTTCCTTTCATCCTTCCTCTCTTCCTCCCTCCTTTCTTCTATACTTGCATCCTCCCTCTTTCTATCTTTCTATCCTTCCTCAGTCCTTCCACCGTCAATCCTTCATTCCTACCTACTTCTATCCTTCCATCCTCCTTCCTTTCATCCTTCCTCACTCGTTCCTTCCTCCTTCCTTCCATGCTTCCTCCATCCTTCCACTCTTCCTCCTATCCCTCTATCCTCCCTCCTTCCATCATTCCCTCCTTCCTTCCTCCCTCCCTCCTTTCATCCTCCTTCCATCCTCCCTCCTTCTATCCTACCCTCCTCCCTCCTTCCATCCTCTCTCCTTCTATCCTACCCTCCTCCCTCCTTCTATCCTACCCTTCTCCCTCCTTCCATCCTTCTATCTTCCATCCTCCCTCCTCCACCCTCCACCCCCACACTCCTCCCTCGCTCACCTGGATATTTGCTGGTGATGAATACAGTTGACAGGTTTCTGAAGGCTTGGCCGATGCGCTCATACTCTTTAGGAAGCGCTGGTTAAAAACAGATGAAGACATTACCACCCAATCACAGCTGTAAGTATTCTGTGTACATGTACACGGAATAACTTTAAATGTATGCACTGACGTCCGGTGCAGCGTTTCCAGTGCGCGTGCCCGACGTTCAGCAGCTCTCTGACGCCATCATCCATGGACTTTGTAAAGCGGCTGTAGTGTTCACACCTCTGTTCACTGCACACACACTCAGAGGTCACACAAAGGTAAAAAGCCACAGGTAAAAACATGTGAAACTGAGCTGCTGTTTGATGGAAGAACAGTGAAAGTACATTTATAATAAGGAACAGTAATGGGCCCAGTACACCGCCCTGTGGCACTCCCAGTGAGCTACAGCTAAAAAAGGGATTGACGCCTGATGACTGGTCATGTGACATTTGACAGACACAAGTTAGACGACCCTAATGAGCGAACCAATCAGAGGTAGCCTGACAGACCAAACCCAGGGTATAGGCCTTTACAAGCAGACTGAGTGACTTACACCTGGATGACATCGAGCTCTGCAGCTTCAGGTTCAACCAAACTGAACATCATTGGACCCACCGTCTCGTCTTTCTCTGCCTTCCTCTTCCCCGCCTTCCACTCCTGAAACAACAACAAACAGCCTTAGCCAATCAGCAAGCAGCATCAGATATCATCACACCTGACTGGCTCAAACATAATCTCCATAAAAGACCATACAAACATTTATAACCTATGGGTGGGGTCTGTTCTGTACCTGAAGCCTTCTGGTTTGTGTTTGTAGTCTTTCATTTGTTTGTGAGTAAACAAAAAGTACATCCCAGAGGCTTAGACAGCAGGTTCTCAGGTTACCTGAAAGATGTAAAGCAGGAGGTGGGCCTTCACCTACCTTCTCATCTCTGTGGGTGAGGAAAAGCTGAAAGACTTCACTCTGAGAGACGATGGGGTGCCGACACATCCGAGTCATCCAGGCCTGCAGACCCTCCATCCTCATCCTAATGAAGTCATCATCAAACCTGCCTACAAGCACGGGTGAGACTGGTAAGGTCAAAGGTGTTTGCTGGGTCATACAGGGTAGCTATGGCGATGGCTCACCTGTCACCTGTTTGTCAGGCAGTGAGGGGATGGGCAGTATGGACCCAAACTTCTCCAGCAGACGCTCGTACAGCCAATCAAAGTGCTTGTAGCGATGATTGACAGGGCTGTTGGTTGTCTGGAGGAAGAGGGAGGAGTCAGAGATTGATACCCAGTGATACTGCAAGTACTACTAAGTACTACAGAGTAAGTAAAGTAAGTACCGTAATTGTCGGGCTATAAGCCGCTACTTTTTGCACCAGCTTTGAACCCTGCGGCTTTTAGTGCGGTGCGGCTTTTCTATGGATTGTCCATGATTTTTGTGATATCGTAAGACGATTTGTTTTGTTTGTTCCGCTGTTGTACGGCACTACGTTGCCTGGCGGAAGGATCGGGGTTCAAGAGTGGTATGTTAGTCACTTGTCCGTCCGCCAGGCAACGTAGTGCCGTACGAAGTAGCGCGAAAAACAAACTTCAAAGTATCGCTACGCGTTCAGCGGGAGGCGTGGATGATGAGCGGCGATAAACTTGCGAAAAGCAAGTTATGCCCAACTCCACCGGTGGATTCTGACAGCGTGGAAAAGTGGGAAAACATCCACGATCACCAACGGATTTTGAAGGGCTGGACTGCTGCATGATGGAGAGGAGGACACAGCCACGGCCCTTCTGAGGGTGTTCAACTCTGACACTGACAACGAGGATTTCTTCTTCTTCTTTGGTTTTGAAAGTGACAACGAAGGAGAGAAGCGGAGAGTGGATGACGAAGCCATCCTGAGCCTGTTTGTATCCGACACTGGAGAAGAGGACTTTGGTGGTTTTAGTGCGCAGGAAGAAGAGAAAGATGGTGGTGAATGACTGACTTTTCTTCTTGTTAAAGCCGTGTCGCTGCACCTGAGCCTAAAAGGTAGGCCGAATCTATTTTTCTGGTGTGCTATAGGTTACTGTTATGTACTACATGTGCAAATATGTACCCATAACTTGTTTTTCAAAATATTAATAAAAGTGAGGTCTCCAAACAGCCATCTCTTTCCTGACAATTCCCTTTGTGCATATTCTCTTAAATATGATAAGTCAACATTGAAACACCTGCGGCTTTTAGTCAGGTGCGGCTAATGTATGTACAAAACAGGATTTTCCCCTGATTTTAGCTTGTGCGGCTAATATTCAGGTGCGCTTTGTAGTCCGGGAAATACGGTAAGTAAAATTTTATTTATATAGCACCTTTCAAGATAAAAATCACAAAGTGCTTCACAGAAGCTAAAACCTAAAAATAAAAATCAACCAAAAGCAAGTTTAAAAAAAAAGTGCTACTAAGCTCACATTGGGTGTTATCTGGTACTCGATGAAGCTCTTCAGTCCGTACATTTTGGACTCTTTCTTTGGATCAGCAATCACACAGTCCAGAGGAGACGTCGGGTACAGCCAGACGGGACCTACTTCTCCCATCTGATCGGACGAGGACCAAGAGCCAATCAGAGCAATCAACACCACACATCATTAACCAAGAGAAAAATGTTGGACTCACGTAGACAGGAAGCCTCTCTCTGCTGTCAGCCGGAGGTCGGGCTAACATAAAGACTTCTGGACTCGGACCTTTGGAGAACGAGAACCTAAAGACAAGAAGGCATCACTGTCTTCTACTCGTTTCTACTGATTTCTACTGACATCTACCGAATTATACTGACATCTACTCATTTCTACTGATTTCTACTGACATCTTCCAAATTCTGCCAACTTCCACTGACATCTGCTTCCATTAATTTTTAATAATATCTAACAACTACCAACATTCACTCCCTTCCACTGAAATCTACTAGGGTTTACCATCACTACTGACATCTACTGACATCTACTGAACTCAACTGATGTTTAGTAAGCTCTACTGTCTTCTACAGAAATCTACCAACTGCTAACCACTGTGACTGACATCTAATGACTCCTACCAGTGTTTACTTTGCTCTATGGACCGACATCTACTGGACTCTACTTTTAGCTCTACTGTGAGTCGTCTGTTATATTTGCATATTTCAGAAACATATGTACTTATTGAGGGAGATCTTAACACTGGGTCCATGGGCGCTTCGTCCTGAGGCTCCGGCCTCCCCTTCCGGTTGGTTGTTGTCATGGTAACTGCTCACCGACTGGTCATCCCATTCGTCGTCCCACTCGCCGTCATCATCCTGAACAGCTGATAGGGACACTGCTCGACATTCCTGATGTAAAACCTTTTTCCTCACAGTAACACACTATACTTGAAAATGAGCTGAAAACAAGCGTATGTTACCGTGCTGTGTGGGATTGTATCCTCGACTGTCCCATCCCTGTGTGTGACTGACAAAAGCCCCGCCCCCCGAGCTCAGGTCGCCGCCTCCTCCAACACCACCAGTGTTTCTGATCTGAAACATGACAACATCTTTAACAAACAGATGTTCCTGCAGACGATACAGACTTTACTGTAGCCATCAGAGCAGGGTGCTACCAATATGGTCGCAAATGCAACCAAATTTTTCAATTGTGCAACTAAAAAAAATCTTGGGTCACACCAGTTTGACCAACTGTTCGAGTACGAACAAAAAAAAGCCTCGGCAACTCTGAAGATCTCCGTGTGGTCAACAACAGACACGCATTATGCCCCTATCGTGGTCTGAACCAATCAGATATAGTCAGGGGTTTGAAAGTGCAGACGGACAGAGAGGTGAGTAGCTTGAATAAAGCGGTATCGATTAATTAAATCCTGATTGAAATATAAATGTATTCTGGAGCTGAAAGCCGACAGCTCACTGACTCTGATGTGTCGGCGGGTCCGTGCTTTGTGTTTACATCTTTTTTGGGCTAGATTCTGAGGTGCAGGTTTTGTCTCTCTCTAACCAAAATTCGCTGAACCAGCAGCAAAAGAAGATCCAAACTATGCTTCACATTTGATAAATGTCGTCATTAATTCCCTCTTACGTTTGCTGTTTTGCTTCCACCACGATAAGGTCACACTTCATGCACAGCTCTCTCTCTCTGTCTGTACTTTAAGTACAGTTTCCCATCTAAAAGTCTCTCCTTTCTGCATTATTCATTCGCTTATTGCCCACCAGTCTACCATTGTTTACAGCGCTGTCGGCCACTCTTTTTTTTTTTTTGAACTTAAATGACCTTGGACAAGAAAGCTTAATTTCTGCTGTTCAATACTGATCTTAGAAATATGGTATCTAAGCAGATTCTTACTCTGGATGGCATTACCTTGGCCTCCAGTAACACTGTGAGGAACCTTGGAGTCATTTTTGACCAGGACATGTCCTTCAATGCACATATTAAACAAATATGTAAGACTGCGTTCTTCCATTTGTGCAACATCTCTAAAGTTAGAAATATCCTGTCTCAGAGTGACGCTGAAAAACTAGTTCATGCATTTATTACTTCCAGGCTGGACGACTGCAATTCATTATTATCAGGAAGTCCTAAAAACTCGCTGAAAAGCCTTCAGCTAATCCAAAATGCTGCAGCAAGAGTACTGACAGGGACTAGAAAGAGAGAGCAGATTTCTCCTGTTTTGGCTTCCCTTCATTGGCTTCCTGTTAAATCCAGAATTCAAAATCCTGCTCCTCACATACAAGGTCTTAAATAATCAGGCCCCATCTTATCTTAATGACCTTGTAGTACCATATCACCCTATTAGAGCACTTCGCTCTCGCTCTGCAGGCCTACTTGTTGTTCCTAGAGTATTTAAAAGTAGAATGGGAGGCAGAGCCTTCAGTTTTCAGGCCCCTCTTCTGTGGAACCAGCTTCCAGTTTGGATTCAGGAGACAGACACTATCTCTACTTTTAAGATTAGGCTTAAAACTTTCCTTTTTGCTAAAGCATATAGTTAGGGCTGGACCAGGTGACCCTGAATCCTCCCTTAGTTATGCTGCAATAGACGTAGGCTGCCGGGGATTCCCATGATGCATTGAGTTTTTCCTTTCAGTCACCTTTCTCACTCACTATGTGTTAACAGACCTCTCTGCATTGAATCATACTTGTTATTAACATCTGTCTCTCTTCCACAGCATGTCTTTATCCTGTCTTCCTTCTCTCAACCCAACTCGTCACAGCAGATGGCCCCGCCCCTCCCTGAGCCTGGTTCTGCCGGAGGTTTCTTCCTGTTAAAAGGGAGATTTTCCTTCCCACTGTCGCCAAAGTGCTTGCTCATATGATTGTTGGGTTTTTCTCTGTATCTATAATTGTACGATCTACTGTACAATATAAAGCGCCTTGAGGCGACTGTTGTTGTGATTTGGTGCTATATAAATAAAACTGAATTGAATTGAATAAGAAAAGATGAAAAGAACTATTGATACATGTTTTGTTAAGGCCTGATCCGTCTGAAATTCATAGCCAGTGCTCTGAAATGGAGCCATCAATCTTTGAACGCTGAAAAAGCACACAGTGTATCCAGAAAACACATTATATGCTGCAATAAATGCACTGCCCAAGTGTCCCCTCTCCCCACTGCCTTTCAGCAGCAGGCAGCAGCAAACAGGTCGTCGGAGGAGCCGATGTGATGATTAGGTTTAACATTGCCTACAATATTACCAAAGAGTGCCGAAGCACTTCAAGCACAAGCACTTTTTCACTAACTTATCTTTCTGCTAGAACTGTGCTCCAAATAAAGAACTTTGTGTTGACAAGATTGTTAGTTAATCGTTTACAAATCAATATTGTCTGTATGGACAGCAATTTCCGTCCCCAAAAAAGTGCACATGTAAAACTGCGGTGTTAAGTGATGCGGTTGAAAAATTTGGGTGCGCCTAACTTTTGTGCTGGTGCGCCTAAGAAAAAAAGTCAGGCACACCAGTGCAACCGTGGCAAAAAGTTATTCTAGAGCCCTGCAGAGGTTACACTGTGTGGTCCAGTGGTCTCCATGGTGGGTTTATCACTCTGTGCTGTGATTTTCAGTATCTCTGTGAAGTGTTTGTGCCTTTGTGAACTTGAAATCAAATAAAGATGAAATATCCTCGGTTTTAGTCTCTGTCGGTTTGGTAAAATAAATGATTGCAGTTTGCCCGATGAAGCCCTGATGGACGTATTTATTGATGTTTGGACGTCTATCAGCCTGTGAGTCAGCTGCTTGTTTTCACTGAAATACTGATTTTCTGGCCTCTGTTCTGGAATCTCACTGAAACTGAGCTGAATTCAAACAAACAGTCAAATAATAATAAAAACTAAACTCAAAGGTAAGTGTTGGACAGAGTGTGTGACACTGATGAAGGTGAAATTCGCTGATCTGTGCCTCTTTGTGTTGACACGACATGAAATAATGTCACAGCGCTCACCTGTAAATATCCCTCAGGTACAAGGCCGGTTTGTCCGCTGGAGTTCTGGGCCTGGATCCAGCCTCCACCCACAGTCTGAAGAACAGGGACACGTGAGGGGGTGGAGCCGTGTTTCCTTTGCAGTGTGTGCAGTGTAAACACCTGTGTTTACCTGGTCTGTCACAGTGATGGTCTCCCCCTCTCTCACCGACAGCTCGTTGTTTCCTGGCTCCGCTGTGAAGTCGTACAGAACCAGAGCCTGGAGAGCGCACACACACATGCACACACACGCACAGAGCTCAGACTGGTACAAACTAAAGTTTAGGGGCAGTCAGAGGAACCAGCTCTGGTTTGGGCTCAGAGGAAACGTCTGGATGTCAGTGAAACTACAAACTCTCGAACCTGACTTCCTGTTGGACCACAGCACTTCCTGACATCCACATATCAGGAACTTCCAGGCTTTCTGGGTTTTTCTTTCCAGAGAAGCTCACACAGAGACATTTCCATGTGCAGCGATGAAACGTCGTCTCCTGCCTCCACACGTTTATTCATGAACACAAATATGATTTCTGCTTGTCGCATTGACAAACACGTCTGCAGAGCCGAACAGTCACAAAATAATTTGAAGTTATATTTGAGTTCAGGACTAACGCTGATGCAGGAGCGCTACGTCGTTGCAAGTCAGTCATATAAAAGTTTACTCTGTGGAGACCGTCACAAACTCTCTCACTGATTAGAGTAATTGTGATTGTAGAGTGTGATTGTTATATTACAACTTCTTTCTACTTACAGTAGAAATGATCATGTGAGTTTTCCATTGCCACGCTCCCACCTGAGGACAACGACGGTCCCCATCACCCTCAGGTCTGTTTCACTCCAACACACCATCACTTCCTGCAGCACCACCCACGCCCACAGCTCAGTCTCTGCCCCAAGCCTGATGGTGGAGGCTGCAGACCTGTCACCACGTCTCCCTCATTGTTAAACTGTTACTATGGTTTCATCCCTCGCATCACTGATCCCCGATCAGGACGCCGTCCTTCAGTGAAACCATCAGAGTAAACATGAGATGTCTGATTGATTTATTCATCCAGGCTCTCATTCCCACCACACCAGCAAAGGTGCAACAGACACAACAGGTAACGAGACATCAAGTACAAACAAGTACAGATGTGTCAATTTGATTATTCCTGGAAACACCAGCAGCACATTTGAAATCCTGATTTTGTCCGATTCCCGGGGCGATCATTTGGATGATGCTGTGAATGTGGTTTTAGATACGGGCGACACGGGCGGTTGCCCGGGACGGCATCACGGGCATCAGCAAAAAAAAAAAAAAAAAAATTGCTCGTAATCGTGCTGCCCCGACATCAGCCAGCGCATATTGGGAATGGTACAGGGACCGATCGGTTTTCTATCGCACATTTGCTGGGAGTAAGGGTGCCCTCCGCTTGCGAGGTGCGCCTGCTGCTTGCGGCACAGTGAGGAGAGGGCGGGGCGGCGGGGGATTCTCTGGCTGGCTGGAGCAGCATCTAATAACCAACTCGCAATAAAACAAAATAAAAACAAAACAACAAACACGAAAACACCAGACATCATGATACAGACTTATAATTTGCACCAAAGTTTTTTCGAAATTCTATACACGAAAAGTGAGCGCGAGCCCTCGGTGCACCTGCTTGCTGCTGAAGTCAAAGTAAACTTTATTGTCATCTCCGCTACATACAGTCCAGTATATAGAGACGAGACGACGAGGCTCCAGTTACAGCAGTGCAAGTAAACAAACAATAAATATAAGAAGACTAAGAAAATAAATATACACTTTAGGACTCGGGGTAAAAGGATCAATAACAATTTAAAATTTATAATTTACAGTTTGATGATTTAAAGTCTCACACAACCCGTCGAAAGGGGAGGGAGACCTGCTGCTTCCAAATAGAGCACATTTCATTCATAATGTTGTAAATCCAAGCCCATCATGGATTCATGATCTGAATCCTGGGTTGTGTGAAATCTCAGAAATAAACCTTAGACAAAGTAAATCTGTGAACTAAGATGTAGGTGTGTTAGGTTATGTTGTAGGGATCCTCGATATGGGGGATTTGTGTTCATACTGGAGTGCAAAATTAAAACCAATGTAAGGTGGACAAAAAAAGTCCAAAGCCATCAGGTGCTCAGTTTAGAAAAAATAGAAAAGAAGAGAAACGAGCAAAAGATGCAGGTAAGCAGGTGTGTGATTGGATAATGGCATGTCATCCTGAAACAATCAGAGTCAGAATACTTTATTAATCCCTAAGGAAATTATGTGGATTACAGTTGCTCCAAGAAGAAATGGTAAAAATACTAAACTCCAAACAATACATTATATTACAGGTTTTAATATTAATTGTCAGTTGTTGATTTGTCCTGTTCTCATTGTATGACGAATTATGATGGCTGTTTGGTAGCCGTTTGCATACAATGCATACTCTCTCTCTCTCTTCATATGTGTGTTTCTCTGGCAAAATTCAGTATGTTTCGACAACAGTTTTATGGTAATGTATAATCCTTAATATGTTTTTTGTGTATGTGGGGGGGCACCAGAGGGAGTGTTCGCCCGGGGCGCCAAACAGGCTAGGACCGCCACTGGTGTCAGAGGACTGTGCTGTGGGAAACAGGAGACCTCCTCACACTGACAATCTCTGAGTTCGTCCTCACAATCTAAAGTTTCTGATATATCGCCTGCAGACCTCACTGATCATCACAGGGATCAATAACTCTCATCGATCTCTCCTCAGCAGCAGGTCTGTGACTTTTGACCCTCCTCTGAGCTTTTCCGACAACTTTTAAACGTGGGCTGGTGTTCTCGCACATGCGCAGCAACAGCCTGTGCGTTCCTATTTTCCCAACTGGATGTTGGCAGTTCTCCCCACGGCTGTTCAAGCCGTGTCTGCGGCTCTTCCCTCCCCCCGTGTCTCCCCCGTGTCTCCCCTGTGTCCCCCTCCTCTCCTCGTGCCGCTCGCTGCACCTGTCTGCTGACACCTGCCGTGTCTCAGGTGTGTCCCCGCCGTTCTGTTGCTCCCCGAATCCGGTTCGGTTCAGCGCGCTGATTGGAGCCAGCCGCGGGGTCAGAGGTCACCGCAGATAGGTACGCGTGCAGGCGATGGTCTTACCTGAGCAGCCATGGTGACGTCACAGGAGTAGGTTCGATCCCGGTTCTTGCCGTCAGCTCGCGGACCGACCTGAGCCCCGCTGCGTCAAGGTAGGGAGCGCGAGGACGGCACTTCCGCTGTGGCGTTTCACAATTAAAGCACCGCAGTAGCTCTAGGGCAAACAAACCTATAAAACGACACCTTTAGTGACGACACTTTAGTGGAGTCTAAAGAAGCTGTGAACACAGGCAAGTTGATTTCATATAATAAAATACAGGAATGCGTTAAATAAATCACACAGATTCGCTTAGTTTTATTAATTTTTATTTTGAAAGTCCGCTTCCGTTAGTTTATTTTTGTGCTCTGAAACCTTGACCACATATGACGTCATACGCGGAAGGGCTATTCCACTGGGCGTCTCCTGAAAACTCTCCAGTTACACGCTGTAAAAATACTGCAGTTGAAAATACTATTGAAGCACATTAAAATACTACAAAATACACAGACGAACACTACAAAATACAAAATGCTAAAATATTACGAAATACTTGTTAAAATACTGCTATTAAATGCATTAAAACACTACAAAATACACTAAGATCATTAGGATCAGTGTGCAGAGTGTAAAATATGAACTTTAACTGTAAATTTAATAACACAGTAAACAATGGTTTTTTATAAAAAGTAAAAGTACAGATAAAAACTGTAGAAACACAAAAATAAACAGTGCGTCATAAAACTGTATGATTGTTGTTACAGTGAAACACACGTGGGGGACTCGGGCTTCACTCTGTCTGCTGTGTGTGGTCTCTGGGCCAAAGGTCACACCTGAAGCCCGTGTCAGGTGACCTGTGGCCGAGTCAAGGCGGTCGTAGGTCACACCGTCGCTACTGCCTGGACTCAAGCCTGAAGAATGGCATCTCTGAGATACCCAGCAGGTGTTTCCTGTTTTATTTTGGCTGTCAGCCCTCCACTTCCTGCCTAGCATGTGTCTGCAGGCTGTTTGCCCTGCCCTAGCCTGACTCACCTGTGCTCACCTGTTCTGGGATAATCTGTTTTTGTGTGTGTTCATGCTTCTGCTCTGACTCTGTGGTATTAGGTCATATGTTATTAATGAGATGTGTGGCAGCCACACCACTCATACTACTGCTCCCATAATGCAGTGCATCTGCTATTTTATTACACCACAGAAAAAAACAATACCTGTGTCCAGAGGTCCTGAACTCAAATCCATAGAAACATCAGAAACTCACATTTTAGAAAGTACTGCACGGGTACTACACATGTATTACATGTACACATATGATTGAAGGATAAATACTTTAAACCACAGGTATGAACCAGTGTGCAGTGTCCACTACACAGGAACACCTCTGTGTGTGTCTTAGATCACAGCAGGTGTGCCATTTCTCTGAGCGGGTCAGTAAACTCACCACACACAGTCAGTGGCACTGCAGGAACTCGTGTGGTGTTCAGATTCTGCCTGATCAAACTGTGTGAATCAGTCTGAGTTATACTGAGGCGTATGAGTGGAGCTCAGCTGGGGTGGGGGGGCTCAGCTGGCGGGTGGGTGGGCTTGCCCCTCCCCAGCCAAACTACAGCTACACCCACAGGTTGGAGTAAACGCTCCTGAAATCTTAAAGTTTGTGTGTTTTCTGGAAAACAAAGACGTGTTGTTGATTCGGAAACAATTTCTTTGCTCTGGTCGATAAACGTTCGTCCTCTCTCGCCAAATGTTAAAGCATGTTGTTGCACACAGGTGGGGATGCTCACATAGGAGGAAGTAGAACTACAATCAGGAACTCCAGAAAACCAACCTTCACACTAAAACAGGAAGTAACCAAAAGACTAAACACACAGAGACACCAACACTGTCCCAGGGAGGAGAGTGAACAGAGACAGGAGAAGTAACCTGTAAGCAGGAAGCAGCGCTTTAAGAGTGTCCCTGAAACAAATGAGTCACATTAGAAACAGGTAAACAAAGAGCAGCGCAGCAGGAAGATGAAAGTGAGTCAGCGTCATGTTGATGAATCCAGGGTCCTGCACATTTTTAAACCTCACAGCTGGAACTCAGAATGACTGCAATGATGTCAGTCATGTATAGGGTCACACTTCATGTTTCTAGACTCTATCAAACCTTTAAAATGCTGTTGGACATCTTTAATGACAGAATCTCAGTAATGTTTCAGCGTAAAATGTAACCAGATTACAATCAAACTGTCTCTAAGTCCATGTAGTTTAAGTCTTACGGTGTGTTCACACCGAACGCGATAGAGGTGGCCAGAGCGTCAGGTTTACATGTAAAGTCAATGGAAAAAGCGCAATGACACGCGATTGCGTGTGCCGCGAAAATTTGGAAGCAGAATTGCATTGCGAAAACGCGTGAAATGGGCGTCAATATACCGCGTTTGCCGTGTTTGGCTCGCAAATAAAACCACACGCGTCAGTTTTTGTGTTGCATTTTGTGCATACGCGCATTTCGCGTCTACCGCTCGAGTTGGAAAAATCTGAACTCAAGCGTCAAATCGCACCACGACAACCAATCAGGAGCCTGCTGACGTGGCTCTGACCAAAGGGGAAATGGTCCAAGGGGCAGATCCAGCCAAAGCCCTTCATTCTTCATTCAGTATGGAGGAAAAGCTCATCACTGCCGTGGACCCTAGCAATCAGTCGTTTTCTGATGAGGCAGCAGCTCTCCAGGGCAGAAACAATGCTGTTATTTTTCTCCTCCTTCTCCCTGAGGCTCTTCCACTCCAAGCTGGGTCCTTTTTATTCCTGTCTCTCTGTAAATAGTTAAATGTTATATATTTATGTTTAATGTTTTTGTTAGTGAATTTATATATTTTTTCCAATAAACATTTATAATGACTAATGTCTCTGTTCTACTACACAGCAAATATTGGCACCCGACTTGACACAAGTAGAATTTATTTCATATTATACTAATGACAAAACATACTAATACAGTGGGATGCAAAAGTTTGGGCAACCTTGTGAAAAGTCATCATTTTACTGTACAAATCGTTGGTTGTCACAATAAAAATTGTCACTTAAATATATCATACAGGAGACACACACAGTGATATTTGAAAAGTGAAATGCAGTTCACTGGATTTACAGAAAGTGTGCAATAACTGTTTAAACAAAATCAAGCAGGTGCATAAATTGGCAACACAAAAAAAGAGAAATGAATTGAATTCA